TGATGAATTCGTGTCCCTCTTCCCATGTAATAAATCCTCTACCCAGTCACACAGTGCCCCTTACAATAGGGAGCCCTTCAGGGTCAACATCCCTCCCCGCCACCCTGTCTCCATCCTACTCACTTCTCAGTTTTTCTACCCCATCTGCCAAGTCTGAGCCTAAAGTCTCTCGGAGTCTCCAGCTAGCCTAAAGGCTTCCCCTTTCCAGCCCAGTTTATTCTCAGCCACGATACGTTTGACCCAATTTCCACATAACAGAGGTTTAGTGACAGACATCTTTGGTTTTTCAATGACTACATCTCCCATTGCCTTCCCACTAGTGGCTTCCTTTTAAACTTTTTTATACTCACATCTAGGGGGCTATTAGAATATGTGGTTATGACATAATCCACAACAAACTATTAGCCACAGAAGTGGGTGTTTGAGGAAAATAAAATCATAAAGATGAATATGACTTCAAAAAAATTCCCTTCCTCTACTGGGACATAAAAGCACAAATCTAGCCCAGACAGCATGTAATAGTAGAGTCAGAAATCAGATTCCAGCGTTTACTGAAGCACCAAGCTAAGCACTTCATATACACTAAATCATTTATTCTCTGACACCAATCCTATGGAGAGAGGAGGGTGGGTTGGGGCTGAACAGGAAGTACACAGGTATACTCAGTCAATCATCTTGCGCTGAAAGCCTCACCTTCTAAAAAATTATCCCTTCCTTATTACAAAAGTAACATGCATTCACAATAGAACACTTGGAAAATATTTTTAGAAAAAACAAAGAAAATTAAAATTACCCATAATTTAACCTAGCAAAGATAATTTATATTAACATTTATCCAGTTTTTTCCTATGGTTTTTACTTACAGTATATATATACATACACACACACTAAAGTGACCAACTTATTCTGGTTTGCCTAGGACTTTCCCAGTTTTAGCACTAAAAGTCTTTCATCCTGGGAAACCCCGCAGTCCTAGGCAAATTGGAATGGTTGGTTGCCTTAATACACACACACACACACACACACACAAATACACTTTTTTTAAAAAAAATAAAATTGTGATCATTCTGTACATACTGTTTTATAACCTAATCTCTTCACTTAAAAATACATTGTGGGTGGTCATCTAAGATACATCAATTGGTCCCAACCTACCTGTAGCAAAGAAGAACGAAGAACACCAAAGACACAGGGAAAATACTAGCCCAAGAGAGAGAAAGGGCCACATAAACCAGAGACTTCCTCAGCCTGAGACCAGAACTAGATGGTGCCTGGCTACCACCAATGACCACCCTGACAGGGAACACAACAGAGAGTCCCTGATGAAGCAGGAGAAAAGTGGGGTGCAGAACTCAAATTCTAGTAAGAAGACCAGACTTAAAGGTCTGACAGACTAGGGGGACCCCGGAAGACATGGCGCCTGGACTCTCTGTTAGACCAGGACTGAAACCATTCCCGAAGCCAACTCTTCAGATGAAGATTAGAACGGACTATGGGACATAAAGTGATACTTGTGAAGAGAGCGCTTCTTAGCTCAAGTAGCTACATGAGACTAAATGGGCAGCTCCTGTCCAGAGGCGAGATGAGAAGGCAAAAAAGGGACAGGAGCTGGTTGAATGGACACGGGAAATCCGGGGTGGAAAGGAGGAGGAGTGTGTTGTCACATTAATAGGGAGAGCAAAGGGTCAAATAGCAATGTGTGTATAAATTTTTGTATGAAAAACTGACTTGAACTGTAAACTTTCACTTAAAGCACAATAAAAAAAAAAGAAAAAAAATTCAATATTAAGGCGGAAAAGAAATATGTATATATATATACACACATATATAGTGGCTCTGCTGGATGAACCCCTGAAACTAATGCCCTGAGATAATCTTTAAACTTTAAACCAAAAATATCCCCTGAAGTCTTCTTAACAGCAAACAATAGTTTGGCTTAACTAGTAAAAAATGTCTGCCTTGAGCATTATGCTCTTTTAAGAGCTATCTATATGGGATCAAATTGACAATAGCAACTCAAAAGATTAGATAAGAACCTTATCGGACAATGAGTTTATGTTAATGGTGGAGGAACAACTCAGAAAAAGAGGGTGAGAATGGCTGGACAACACAAAGAATGTAATCAATGTCACTGAATTATACATATAGAAACTGTTGGACTGGTGTAGGTTTTGCTGTATATATTCTCAGCAACATAAAATAAATAAAATTTTTTTAAAAATAAAATTCTGATTGGTATCTAACAATTAAAATATATATATATAGTGGCTCCAATGGAGTAGAATGAGAGTCCAGAAATAAACCCATACATCTACAGTTAATTGATTTTCAACAAGGGTGCAAAGTCTATTCAATGGGGAAAGAACAGTCTGTTCACCAAACGATGCTCGGACAACTGGATCTCTACATGCAAAAGAATGAAGTTGGACCCATATCTCACATCATATACACACATTAACCCAAACTGGATCAATGACCATCTTGAAAACATTATGCTGAGTAAAGTAAGTCAGTCACAAAGGGACAAATAACATATAATTCCACTTACGTGAAATATCTAGGATAGGCAAGTATACAGAGACCAAAGTTTATTAGTGGTTACCTGAGGCAGGTGAGAGAGACGGGAAAAGAAGGACTCACTGCCTAGGGGACATGGAGCTTCTCTTAAGGGTGACAGGAAAATATGGAAACAGATAATGGTAATGCTTGAACAACATGATAAATGTAACTAACATCAGTGAATTGTACAGGTGAAAAATGTTGAAAAGGCCAACTGTTTGTTACATGTATATTTACCACATTTAAAAAAAAAAAAGGATCAATGACCTAAATATAAGAACTAAAATCATAAAATTCTTAGAAGAAAACATTAGATATGATACCAAAAGCATAAGCAACAAAAGATGAAATAGATAAATTGGACTTCATCAAAATTAAAAACTTCTGTGCATCAAAGAATTTTATGAACAAAGTGAAGAGACATAATGGGAGTAAATATTTGGGAACCATGTATCTGATAAGGGTTTATTTAATATCCAGAATATATAAAGAACTTATACACCTCAACAACAAACAGACAGACAATCCAATTAAAAAATAGGCAAAGGACTTAAATAGACATTTCCCCAAAGAAATGATCAATAAGGACAAGAAAAAATGCCCAACTATCATTAATCACTAGGGAAATGCAAATCAAAATCACAATGATGTACCACTTCACACACACTGAAATGGCTATTAACAGAAAAACTGAAAATTACAGGTGGCGGCAAGGATGTGGAAAAACTGGAACCCTCGTCCATTGCTGGTGAGAATATAAAATGGTACAGCCACTGTGAAAAAAACAGTTCAGTTGTTCCTCAAAAAGTTAAACATAGAATCACCATAAAGCCATTGCTGTCGTGTTGATTCCAACTCACAGCAACCCTACAGGACAGAGCAGAACTGCGTCACAGGGTTTCCAAGGACTGGTTGGTGGATTCGAACTGCAGATCTTTGGTTAGCAGCCGAGCTCTTAACCATTGCACCACCAGGGCTCCAGAATTATCATGTGACCTAGCAATTCCACTCCAAGGTATATACCTATGATGGTAAAGATCATGTGTCAGCTTGGCTGGGTCATGATCCTCAGCATTTTAATGTGATCACTCCCATGATTGAATATACTATGAGTAGCCAATCAGATGAAAGGGAGTCTCCTTGGGGGTGTGGCCTGCCTCTGAATATAAGCAGACGTTCTGGCTTTTTGCTCACTCTGGATCTTGCGGCTGCCTCTTGTCGTCTCATCTCCGGTTCTTGGGACTTGAGCTGTCAGCTTATCTGCCGAACTTGGGATTCATCAACCTTCACAGCCTGTGAGCGGAGCCCTGCTGTCTGACCTGCCAATCTTGGGTTTGCCAGCTTCTGCAGCTGCACTACTTGGGAGAGGCCTCTACCCTGATCCATGGATTTGGGATGTTCTAGACTCTACAATCGTGTGAGCTATTTCCTTGATATAAATCTCTCTCTATATATTTATATGCTTTACTGGTTTTGCTTCTCTAGAGAACCCAGCCTAAGACAATACCCAAAAGACTTGAAAGCAGGCACTCAAACAGATACTTGTACACTAATGTTCACTGTGGCATTATTCACAACAGTCAAAAGGTAGACAACCCAAGTGTCTATCAAGGGATGAATGGATAAACAAAATGTAAAATACATATATATATACACACACACACGTATATAAAATATGAAATATTATTCAGCCATAAAGAGATGAACATGGATGAACCCTGAAAGCATTATGCTGAGTGAAATAAGACAGACACAGAAGGACAAATACATGGCATATCTAGAATAGGCAAATGAATAGAGAGAAAAGCTTACTAGTGGTTACCAGGGGCAGGAGGGAGGGGAGAATGGGAAGTTACTGCTGAAAAAGAACTGAGTTTCTGTTTGGGGTGATGGAAAAGTTTTGGAAATAAATAGTGGTGATGGTAGCAAACCATGGTGAATGTAATTAATATCACTGAATTGTACACTTAGAAATAGTTAAAATGGCAAAATTTTGTTACATATACTTTACCACAATAAAATTAAATACATAGATAGATAGAGAAGCTATTTTCCCATGTCATAAAGAATCTTCTGTGACATTTTCTGTGACTGTGTTGTGGCTACACCGTATTCCATTTTACCGTTGTATCCTTTCATTTAACCGGTTCCCTATTAGTAGATAACTAGGTTTCTAGCTGTACTACTTTTAAGTTACCTTTGGTTCTACAACTAATAAAGGCTGGAAGAGCAGAAAAAAAATTATATGCACACACAAAATACAGACTGTAACTCTCCAGGGTGGCCATATTTTACTTCGATAAAATACCATTTTCAATCTCAGACACCTGTGTTAGTGTAATGAAAAGGACTCAGAAAAAGACTCAACAACCTCCCTCCACATCGCCTATGACAACATGCATGGGGATTCATCAATACTTCAGTAGATATTAAAGCCTTACCTTTTTAATTCATTCACAATTGAAGTATGAACTTTCATTGCAATTTTGCCGTCCAAGTGTGTTTTCAGTTCTTGGCATTTGTTGTGTAAGATTCTCAGCTGCTCCTTGCTTTCAGTGAGCTCCTTTTCCTGGCTCTGAGCTTTCGTCTCCAGAAACATAAGTTGTTTAGTAAGTTTGGAAACTGAAAAACAAAAGAATGGATTAAGACTCGACACAAAAGATCATGAACAAAACAGGATTATCAATTACTAGGTAAGGCTAATGGGGGCCAGCTCAGAAAAATGATCTTTTAAAAAGCTTTTTGGAGATTTATAAATTAATACCAAAAGTCCTTGTACTTAGAAATCACTGGCCCTATATGAAGCATTCACCTCTATACACCTTTCACTGGTGCCTGAGATAATATTTAACAAGATATGATTCCAGTCTTCAAGGAACTGACCTTCCAAACACTGACGCCTTAAGTCACACACAGATGGGCGAGCACACACACGTCCCTAAAACTGCAATAAGATTTTCAAGGATATAAAATATAGTCCAATTAAGAAACAAAGTTCTTGTATTTCTTCCTTTTCCTCATTAGCTTTAATGTCCTCTGTTTAAAGTAAATCATAAATATTTTCATCCTATATGACACGATAAAATAAAACAAAACAAAAGAAAACCAAACCCGTTGCCAACAGAGTACAACTGCTCCATAGGGTTTCCAAGGAGCAGCTGGTGACCACTTCGCCACCAGGGTTCCATGACATGGTAGTATATTTCCTAGGCAGCTACTGAAAGTAGCACTTACAAGTATTACAGCATAAGACTTTAAGTCTTTCTACTCTGTGAAAACATTAAGTTGATAAAAATGAATATCTGTTTCTGGGAAATGGGAAGACAATATAGGTAACTGATGGATTCATACAGGCCAAAAGGTTTACCCTTCCCAAGTGTCTAGAAGAATCATCATAGCTGTTCAGATCTGGTATGTCTGGGAACATTCAGCTTGGTAATATGAAATTAATATTCCTGTCATCTCCAATCCTGAAAACAAAGACAGGAGGCTCAACAACTCCCTCTTCCCCCCACCCCCAGGGTAAAGGCAACTGCTCTGTACCACACAGTCTACGGAGAAGGCTGTGGAGGACTGCCGGCTGGACTCTCTGAGATCCTCTCACGTATGAACATGACCAGGCTCTCAGAAACAAGGCAAATGTTAGCCCAGTGGCTCCAGTGACAGCAGAGGTTGGTAATTACCTCTTCGTCAGCGTGGAGAGCTAAATCATTAAATAACCAGGTACAGTGGGAAAACAGAAAGGCAGAGTTACTGGCGCACAGAAGATAGCTTGTCTTTCAGCCTCCTGTCTGACACTCTTCTTCACTGGAAAAATTACTAAAGCAAAGAATAAAAAAATGCCAGTATCTTTTGTGCTAAAAAATTTTGGTTTTAATCAATGCTGAAGAAATGACTTGGAATATGTCCCATTTCAGAGTCCACTGTCACATGCTGGGAGGGTCCTTTGGGCAGAGGGGACTCACGGCGAGAGGGGACACGCAGAGAAGGGGTGATACATTACCTACAACACTACAGCTCTGAAGGAAGGGAACCAGCACAGAGACACTGTTTAAAGAGCAAACAGCTCCCATTTATTCACTCGCCAACAAACATTTGGGAGCAGATCCTTGTGTCATCTCAAATATTTACTGCACGCGGATTTTCCCATTTCTAAGGGACTATTTTCCTCTAAAACCAGTTCTGCTGAGTCTAAAGCTGTCACCTACAATTTGATTTACAAAATAAAACATATGGAATGACTAGAAACATGGTAGTGGTCTAAGAGAAAGCAATCAATGCATTATGGGCAATGTCTGGACATGTTTTAACGTATACTAGCTGCATTTCAGTAAGAAGAATATATTCCTAGAAAACATGATTTCCCCCATTTTCATCTGGGAGGGGCAGCAGGAGGGGGCTGCAAGTGTGAAATGACACAACAGGGATATCACCGCACTGCAGGTACTCAGGGAAAGAGCTCTCACCTTCCTGGAGGTGCTCCTGGTGGCTGTCCTTGGCTTTCTTTTGCTGAATCTCCAACTGCCCTATCAACAGCTTGTTCTCCTCTAAAACCAGTTCTGCTTGAGTCTGAAGCTGATGCCTACAATTAATTTAGGAAATGAAACATTGCAACTCTGACTGATTACAGAACCACTCCGGAGTCTAAAAGAAAGCAATTGATGCATTGTAGGAAATGAATAAAGTTAAATATATTATTTACACAGCAAATTCTGCTAATCTGCGTTAAACTGAAGGAAAAGACAGTTATGAAGTCTGAATTATGGATTATTCCAATAACTTTTTAAAACGTAAAATTTCAAGTATATAAAAATAGAAAAGAATAATAAACCCCCGTGTATACAACACTCAGTTTAAACCATTATCGAACGGCCAATCTTGTTTCATCCATATACACCTCCAATCCCCTCCACCCACTGGATTTTATACAGCCAATGTGGAGTATTTTTTTAAAGAGTCTAGAAAGTTCCCACGTTAATTTAAAAAATATCGATTTGTAATTAGTAGCAATTTGCCAAAAAACAATTGTCAAAATCCTTTGAAATTTTTTCTTAAGCTGTACTGAGACTCATCAGCCTTAATTTCACCATGAGCAAGCTCTTTTCCTCAGGAGACCTCATGGTGCAGTGGTTAATAGCTTGGCTGCTAACCAAAAGCTCTGCAGTTGGAATCTACCAGCCGCTCCTTGGGAACCCTGAGGCAGTTCTACGGGTTTGGTTTTTGGTTTTAAACCCTTTCATTATAGATGATGCAAAGTAAATCCCAGCTCCGCTCAACCTTCATGATCACAAATTCCAATTGGAATGAGCTGAAGGGCCATCTAGATAAGTGTTTACCACCCAAAATACAACAGAAACCAGCGAAGCATCTCAATTTTCCACTTTAAGGTAAGAAAGCGAGGCACGAGGAGAGAAAAAAGACGTAAGGAGCCCAGCTCTAGCAATTACTTCACTTGCTCCTTGGAGCCCCAGAGGTGTCCCTCCCTGCACCCAGGGGGAGGCGAGCTGGCCCAGGCTGACTGTCCAGCCTCCTCACTCCTGCCCCAAACGCAGCAGCTCCATTGTGATCTGTTTTACAGTTTGGACTCCCCCCTCTCTCTTGCTCCCTTCCTTCCTCTCTCCTTCTCTCCCTCCCTCCCTTCCTTTTCATAAATGAAAGGGCTATCCACTCTTTAAAACAAGCTGAAAACCTCAGATTTAGTTCAGCAACCCTCCCATTTTACAGGGCAGCCCGTTAAGTCTGAGGTCACCAGCTGGGCAGGGGAAGAACCAGGAAAAGAAATGCAGAGCATAGAGCTGCAGCCCAGAAGTTCACTGAGAAATTGTTTTAAACTACGTGGGAAACTTCTGCTGAACTGTGGAGTCGGTGTACCTGAGTGCTGCGCACAGGTCTAGCAGCCACATACCTGGGCAGGTACAGGAAGCTGTGGCCAAGGAGGCTCAGGGGTGGATGCTATTGCGGGAGGTTTCGCGTGATGGCAGATCGGCCTGTTGAGTGTGATGCTGCAGGTCCCAGGGAACCCACAACCCCAGCTGGATAGTTTAAGGTAACAGGGAGACTGGCCAGGGGCCCTCAACAGAGGAAATGCGCAGGCCCGACAGCTCATCCAAATGCTGTACAGGCTGCTACGCTAGGGCCGAGTGCACACTTCTAATCTTGATAAATCCAGGACTGGGGAATGCTGTGGGAAAGCGAATTTGAAAGCAGGGCCTTTCCTTCCTTCCTCCCTCACCCCCCTACTCCTTTTTTTGGATAAGTTTAAGGAGATGTAAACAGGTTAGACTTAATGGCTATATACAAGGTGAGGGAAAGAATCTGAGGTTGCAGATTCTCACCAGGGCTGTTCGGGGCATGTGAGACCCAGTCTAATGGAGCTGCTTCCCAGGGGCCTTTTGAAGGAAGGTTTGAGGCGAGACATACTGGTGGCTTCACAGAAGACAATCCAGTTCAACAAGGGAAGTCACAGTGCACCAAGATCCAGCAGCTGCTTAGCTCAGCGCCAACTGACACATTAGTCACCATAAAATCAGGGAGGACCAACTTAAAGGTCAGGATGCTATTGACTCGATCCCAGATTTCTGGATGCTGCATACAGAAACCATTTCATTTTTTCAGTCATGATAAGACTTTTAAGAAATATTAAATATAACATGTCTACCTAAAGTGAGAAAGATATACCTGAATATTTGTTTTCTTAGTCTTGCTGGGATATTGCTTCTAGACTTCTAAAGACATTTATTTACTCTCACTGATTGATTGAACAGGCGTTTGTTCCTGCTGTGCTGGATGCTGCGTCACACATAAAGATGAACAAGCAGGAATAGCCCTGACCTTGAGGAGCTCACAAAAGAGAAGAGAGAGGCAGGCCCAGTGTGGCAGGTACCAGGACAAGGTGAGTGTTTAGGGCTATACCAGAAACAGACGCCAGGGAGAGCTAGTGACAAGTGCCCTCTGAGCAGGCCCTAAAGGTGAGCGGGAGAGCGGGGAGGGCATTCCAGGTAGAGGGTGCAGCAGCTGTAAGAGTAAGGTGGCGTGGCTACACTCAGCTGTCCGGGAGTGAAAGGCCTTCGCTGAAGGTCAGGGCAGACAGCAGCTGGCAGACAGGGCCTGACCCACACACTGGAGATGGGCTTTCTGGTCTACATCTCTGAGAGTGACTGGAGGGTTCTGAGAAAGGATGTGAGTCAACAGGTGTGAGGTGGGAAAAAATGACCTAGAAAAATACAACCTCAGAAAATAAAAATTGGGCAAGCAAATAAATTTTAGGTTTGAGAAACTACAATTTTTAAGTAACCTTCAAATTACAAGTTTAGAATAATTTACTAGGATTTTATCGTACCATACTGTCTTAGAAACTCTCCCTTAAAATATTTTAGTTAAAAGAAGGAAATGTATTTGATTATTTAATGAAGTTTATTCCTATTATCTTTTTTGTTTTTTTAAATTAGCAAAATACCAAAAACAACACCACTTGCCATTCCTTATGGGTAACAGGACTACTCTTATTTAACTCTTGGTGCAATTCTTCATTCTCTTTCACCACTTCTTGGACCCGTATCCTAAACATCCTCATTTCCTCCTGAAATAAAATTTAGGTAAATTGTAACACACACATTTGTATTTTTTTAGTTCTAGTGCTGTCACTACAACCAAGATCAAATGTTAATAAACATTTGGCAGAATCTCATGTAACACCAGCACCAAGTGCCTGTCCTCAAGGAGCTTACAGTCCAGTCAGAAAACAGACAAGAGACAATTACAGGACCAAGTACAAGGGACAGACAGGCCCAGGTTTTTAATATTCAGTTCCTAATTTCATGACCTTTTTATGTAACTGCCAAATACTTAATAAAAAGGCAGGGTAAAAAAAAAGCAGAAATGATGGTAAGCACTAATTTTTCCTTTGTTTAAAAACTTTGGAGACAAATTGGAGTTTTTTTAAGATAAAATTAAGAAATGTTCACCTTTAACTGAGGCTCATTTTGGTGGTGGAGGATTAGTGTGGGGGTAAAACCGTGAGAAAGCCTCTCTTATTAGAAGTCATCAGTCAATACAGCACCGTCAGTTATCACCCCAATGAGAGGGCACTATGGCTGGGTCTCGGTTTTCTAACGGGGTTTCTGCTAGGTTCTGCCAGGCCTCCTCCATTACCAGCTTTTCTCAGCCAGACTTTGGCCAGCTCCAGTGCCCTGTGGGATCCTTCAGTGAGAATCTTAGATGACGATATTTTTCTGCAAGGCTTCTAAATGTTCTTCTCCCAGCTATTAGATATTTATGCTTACAGCTGTTTAACTTAAAGCAGCATTGCCAAGTAATTTCTCCTCCTCTTACCTTCCTGCCTGCCTTCCTTTCTCCTCTCCTTCAACAAACATTTGAATATCCATTATATGCTGGGCATACCTACCATCAAAATATTTCTTCAAAGTTTGAAACATTCTTATTTTTTACAAACCTTGTCTCTTCTGAGACCTCTGCCAACATACCTCGAGGGTGGCATTGAGCTCGTCCTTCTCTCTCATCCTATCTTCGTAAGCCAGCAACAATGGTGACAGGTACTTTATATCCAACTGAAGATAATGAAGCAAAGGAGGATTAATATATTCCTCACATGTAAACACATTCAGCAAACTTTAAAAGGTTAAGAACATACGCTTAATTTGGAATGGTGTTTAATAGCTATTCAAATGTAGCCCAGAAAATATGGGCCTGAAATTAAACAAATAACTTTTCACTTACCAACCAGGGTGGTGTAGGGCCGTTTAATGGGAGGCCTTCAATGTTTAAACTCTAAGAACAAAACAAACAATGAAGACAGCTCAAATGACCCTTTCTTTGAAATTTCAACCTTCAGGTATTCTTAATTTAGATGAGGCATCAGCCATTTATGCAACTATACGCATATACACACATTTATATACATGTATGTATATAGTGTGTGTATGAGAAAATTTTTTTCTGAAATGTTTGAGAGTATTTGCAGGCATGATGTCCCTTTTCTTTCACATAGTTCAGTGTATGTTTCCAAAAAACAAGAACATGCTTTCACTTAACCACAGTGCAATTGTGAAAATCAGGAAATTAACACCGATGAAATACTATTTTTTAGCCCACAGACTATATTCGAATGTTGTCATTTTTCCCACTAATGTCCTTTTTCTGTTGAATCCAGAGCCACATGTTGCACATGTAGCAGTCTAGTCTCTTTCATCTCCTTTAATCTGGAACATATCCAGTAATTTCTGATTGGATGCTGGACTGTTTGAATGTACATGTTGAGTGTCTGAATTTTATTATTTTCCTTCAAAGAGTGCTGACTTTTTTTTTCTTTTTTTGCAGATTCTTAAGTTTCTCCTGGATCAGCTTGATGCTTCTGAGGCTTGTTTTTGACCTTGGTCATAGGGTTGCTCTGAGTTGGAACTGACTCAATGGCAATGGGTTTCTTTTTTTTTTTTATTGGTGGGATTGGAATAACCTTTACTGAAAGGCTAGTTTAGCCATACTATTAAGGCATGACCCTTCTGGGGTCTTTACTCAATGCCATGGTGCTCAACAAGGTCGATCCACTGTGGCTGGCCAGAACTCAAAGATCCCTCAGTGGGATGTGAACTCAGGGAGTCAGTCAGCTCACAGCTCCCTGTACTGGTTTTCTGCCCCGGCTCACGGAGTTTTATCCTACACCATATGCAGATTGTTGTTTGTTGCTATTAGGTGCTGTCGAGTCAGTTCCGACTCAGCAACCCTATGTACGATGGAAGGAACACTGCCCGGCCCTGTGCCATTCTCATGATCACTGTTATGCCTGAGCCCATTGTTACAGCCATGATGTCAATCCGTCTCGTTGAGGGTCTTCCTCTTTTTCACTGACCTTCTAATTTACCATGTTATCAGGAGGGACTGGTCCTTAACTGTGCCCCCGTGTGCTTTATTATATATATATGTTTTCACACATATACATGCATATACATATGCATGCATGTATGCCCACATATGGAGCTCTGGTGGCACAGTGGTTAAGCGTTTGGCTGCTAACCAAAAGGTCAGCAGTTTGAATCCACCAGCTGCTCCTTGGAAACCCTACAAGGCAGTTCTACTTTGTCCTATAGGGTTGCTATGAGTTGGAATTGACTCTATAGCAATGGGTTTTATGCCCATATACACATAAATCTACATACAGATACCTAGCTATATATACACACGCATATATACATACATGTATACCTACGCATATATCTTTTGGCTGTTGTTGCTCTTGTAAAATTAGGTATGTTCTAGCATTTGTCAGAACGTCCTTTTGTCTTGTGTACATCTTAATAATATCATTTACTTTGGTCAAGCTGTGCCCACTTCACCCACGTTCAGTGTTAACATTCCCATCACCAAAAATATTGTGTTGAAGAACACCAAAGACACAAGGAAAATATTAGCCCAAGAGACAAAAGGGCCACATAAACCAGAGATTCCATTAGTCTGAGACCAGAAGAACTAGATGGTGCCTGGCTATGACCGCCCTGACAAGGAACACAAGAGACAGTTCCTGATGGAGCGGGAGAAAAGTGTGGAACAGAACTCAAATTCACGTAAAAAGTCCAGATTTAACAGTCTGACTGACACTGGAGGAACCCCAGAAGCCATGGCCCCGGACGCTATGTTAACTCAGAACTAAAACCATTCCCGAAGACTATTCTTCTGACAAAGATTAGACAGGACTATAAACGTAAAATAATACTCGTGAAGAATGTGCTTCTTAGTTCAAGCAGATACATGAGACCAAATGGGTGGCTCCTGTCCAGAGGCAGGATGAGAAGGCAGGAAGGCACAGGAGCTGGCTGGCTGGACATGGGAAACCAGGGGTGGAAAGGTGGAGTGTGCTGTCACATCGTAGGGATTGCAACTAGTGCCACATGACAATATGTGTGTAAAATTTTGTATGAGAGATTAACTTGAGCTGTAAACTTTCGCCTAAAGTACAATAAAATAATAATAATAATAAATGTCTGCTAAAGAGTGAGGAAGCATGTTTTGTATTATGTGACACCAAGAACTGGAATTTTTTTTTTGTTTAAAAAAAGTTAGTATTATGCTAAGTGAAAGAAGTCAGTCACAAAAGACCACATATTGTATGATTCCATTTATATGGAATGCCCAGAGTAGGCAAATTCATAGAGACAGACCGTGGTTCCAGGGATTAGGGAAGCAGGGAGAGGAGAGTCATTGCTAATGGGTACGGGGTTTTTTGTTGAAGTGAGGAAAATGTTCTAAAATTGACTGTGGTGATGGTTGTACAACTCTGTGAATACATTAAAAACCAATGAATTGTACACTTTAAGTGAGTGAATTTTATGGTATGTGAATTATATTTCAAAGCTGTTATAAAAAAAAAGTTAAACCTAAGCTGTATTTCAAAAAGAAAATTCTACAACTGTCATGGATTGAATTGTGTCCCCCCAAAATATCTGTCAATTTAGCTAGGTCGATTCCCAGTACTGTGTGACTGTCCATTTTGTCATCGATGTGATTTTCCTGTGTGTTGTAAATCCTATCCCTGATGTTAATGAGATGGGATTAGCGGCAGTTATGTAGACTCAATCTACAAGATTAATCTACAATTTAAGCCAATCTCTTTTGAGATATAAAAGAGAGAAGTGAGCAGAGAGATAGGGGACCTCATACAATCAAGAAGCATCAGGAGCATAGTGTGTCCTTTGGACCTGGGGTCCCTGCACTGAGAAGCTCCTCGACCAGGGGAAGATTGATGACAAGGACCTTCCCCCAAAACCAACAGAGAGAGAAAGCCTTCCCCTGGAGCTCGTGCCCTGAATTCAGACTTCTAGCCTACCAGACTGTAAGAGAATAAATTTCTCTTTGTTAAAGCCATCCACTTGTGGTATTTGTTATAGCAGCACTAAATAACTAAGGCAACAACCAAACACAGTTAAAAAAAAAAAAAAAATCACTGAAACCTAAATCAGAAGCCCATGTGGCTCCCTCTAACGCTGTGTGCTTACCCTCCCTCACCCCCACCAAGGGCCAGTCAGCCGTGCATCCTCCTCCTGTGTACACACATGTCCATCACATACGTGAGTCCTCTAAGAGCAAGGCCCTGACCTTCTGGTTCATCTTTTATTCTTTACAGGATCTGTAGTAGGCTGAATGATGGCCCACCAAAAGATCTGTCCATATCCTTATCTCTGGAACCTGTGGCTGTGACCTTATTTGAAAAAACAGGGTCTTTGCAGATATAATTAAGTTAATGATCTCACGATGAGACCATCCTGGATTATCTGGGTGGTCCTTAAATCCAATGACAAGTGTCCCTATAACAGAGATAAGAGAAGAAGACAGAATAGGAGAAAGTAGGGTTGCCATGAGTCGCAACCGACTCGACACACCTAACAACAGCAACGTGAAGGCAGAGGTAGACTGGAGTGATGCAACCACTAGCCAAGGGACACCTGGAGTCACCAGAAGCTAGAAGACTAAGGAAGGATTCTCCCCTAGAGCCTTTACAGGCGGTACGGCCCTGCCCACACCCTCCTGACCTCCACAACTGGCACACAATAAATTTCTGCTGTTTTAAGCCATCAAGTTTGTGGTAGTTTGTTACAGCAGCCACAGGAAACCAATACAACATCTAATTTAGTGGCCTGTTCAGCAAAAGTTTGTTGAATTGAGTTATTTAATCTGTTTTATAAAGTAAAAACTAGTCTGCTTTCTTTGCAAAGTTTGTATACTGACAAAGTGACAACATCTGTAAGGTTGAGGAACAGGATCGAGAGGGAGCACCCACTCTTTTACTTCTGGGTTGTCCCAATATTTTACAAAGGACCTTCGTTGCCAACATTTGAACTGGGGAGGGTGGGAGGAAAAGAGAAAGGGCCCTAGAAACACGTTGCTTTGGATGCATCTTTTTATATCAAATTATAAAAATAAGAACCCCTCAGGATTGTAAATCAATTCAACAGTAAAGACTAAAAAAATCTGAAAACAAAGATTTTTCTTAACTGGGAACATTACCTCTTCCTTGGACAAACGCCTAAATTTTGTTTGGTATCTACTCAGTTCTACATTCAAACGATGGACAATGGTTTTTAACCCATCATTTTCATCCACCAGTTCTTGAGCTTGTTTTCTTAGGTAAAGAACTTCAGGCACAGCCACTTCTGGAAAAAAAAAAAATTGTAATATAAGAAATTATATCAAAATTACCAAGATTTTACATAAATTGCTAACCATCTGTATATTTTTTCGCTTTTAGGCTCACAGAGGCAATGAATGGTAAATATATAAATATAAATGAATAAAAGTTACAAAGTTTTTAAAACACTGAATAGTCAACATTGACTTGGAAATTTTTGCATGTAGATTAAAATAAAATTTAAATTTAGAAGTCATTGTTTCAGATTATTATATGTGTTGTATGTATGTATACGTATGGCTTAAAAAGAACATAGAATGGACAATTTATTAGAATAGCCTTCTTAAATAATAACAATGTACTGTTAGAAAACATACTAGAAAATAGATCCCACAAAAGTAACAGCACAAGTAATACGAAGTATCTACAAATAAATGTGCCTAGGACAAGAAATACTCAGGGATATATGAAGAAAACTACAGTATCTTACTTAAGGTCACAATATTGTCTTACACAAACAGAAGAAGGTATAGAGAAAGTATTAGTAAAATATTTATATAATCTTAGAGTTAAAAAGCACTTGATACAAAGGGCAGAAGTTAGAAAAGAAAAACATTTTATAGATTTAGCTGAATTATCAACAAACTGAGAAAATATTACATATACAAAAAAGGGCAAAAATCCATAATATATAAAGAGCTCCTTCACCCCAAAACAGCACAATGTACATTCTACTCCAGTGCACATGGATTATTCTCCAGGATAATCACATGTTAGATCACAGGATAATCACATTAGGTCACAAAGCAAGTCTTGATAAATTTTAAAAGACTGAAATAATACAAAGTATTTTCTCCAACTACAACAGAGTGAAGTTAGAAATAATAGAAAAAAACGTGGAAAATACACAAACATACGGAAAATAAACAACACACTATTAAACTACCAACAGGTCAAGGAAGAAATCAAAAGAGAGATCACAAATTTCTTACAGTCAAATGAAAATGAAAGCACAACATACCAAAACTTATGGGATACAGCAAAGGCAGTACTCAGAGGGAGTTTATAGCAATAAATGCCTACATGAAAAAAGAAGGAAGATCTCAAATCAACAGCCTAACTCAACAACTTCAGGAACTAGAAAGAGAAGAGCAAACCTAGCCTATACCTACCAGAAGAAAGGAAATAACAAAGATCAGAGAATAAATAAATAAAATCAAAAACAAAAAGAGAATCAATAAAACCAGAAGTTGGTGCCCTGGCAGCACAGTGGTTAAGAGCTCGGCTGCTAACCAGGTCGGCGATTCAAATCCACCAGCTGCTCCTTGGAAACCTTATGGGGCAGTTCTACTCTGTCCTTTAGGGTCACTATGAGTCGGATCAACTCGATGGCAGTGGGTTTTTGGTTTTTAGTTAGACTGACAAAGAAAAGAAGAGAAAAGATGCAAATAACCAAAATAAAAACTGACAGAGGGGACAGTACAACTGACGTAATAGAAATAAAGAGAATTACGACAGAATATCATGAACAACTGTACAGCAACAAACTGAATGACCTAGATGAAATGGACAAATTCTTAGAAGCACGCAACCTACCCAAATTGACTCCTCAAAAGGAAACAGAAAGTCTCAACAGACCCATAACAAGTGAAGAAATCCAATCAGTGACCAAAAACCTCCCCGCCCAAAAAAAAGTCCTGGACCAGATGGCTTCACCGGAGAATTCTACCAAACATTTAGAGAAGAACTGACACCAATACTGTTTAAACTCTTCCAAAAGATAGAAAAGGAATACTCCCTAATTCATTCTATGAAACAAACATAACCCTGATACCCAAACCAGACAAAGACACCCACAAGAAAAGAAAATTAGAGGCTAATCTCTCTTATGAATATAGATGCTAAAATTCTCAACAAAATACTAGCAAACAGAATCTGACAGCACATTAAAAGAGACAAACACCATGACCAAGTGGGATTTACTCCAGGAATGCAGAGATGGTTCAACATTACAAAACCAATCAATGGAATACACCACATCAATAGAACAAAGGAAGAGAACCACAGGATCATCTCTATAGATGCAGGAAAAAGCATTTGATAAAATCCAATACCCTTTCTTGATGAAAACCCTAAAGAAGATTGTAATAGAAGGGAAATTCCTCAATATGATTCAGGGCATATACGAAAGGTCAACAGCCAACATTATACTTAATGGAGAAAGACTGAAAGCCTTCCCTTTGAAACTGAGAACTAGACAAGGGTGCCCGCTCTCACCACTACTATTCAACAATAAGACAAGGAAAAGAAATAAAAGGTATCCAGATTGGAAAAGAAAAAGTAAAATTATTTCTATTCACAGGTGATATGATCCTATATATAGAAATCCCAAAGAGTCGACATGAAAACTTCTAGAGATAATAGAGGAATTTAGCAAAGTTGCAGGGTACAAGATTAACAAACAAAAGTCAGTTGGGTTTCTACACACCAGCTATGAGAAATCTGAAAGGGAAATTAGAGAAACAATTCTATTTACAATAGCATCTAAGAGAATAAAATACCTAGAAATAAATCTGATCAGGGATGTGAAGGAGTTACACAATGGAAACTATAAAACACAGCAGAAAGAGATTGAAGAAAATAAATGGAAAGATGTTCTATGTTCATGGATTGGAAGACTCAATATTGTTAAGGTGTCAATACTACCCAAAGCAATCTATAGATTCAACGTAATTTCGATCAAAATTCCAACAGCCTTCTTTACAGAAATAGAAAAACCAATACTCCACTTTATATGGAATGGCAAGAGGCTCCAAACAGCTAAAGCAACACTGAAAGAGAAGAACATAGTAGGAGGACTCATACTTCCTGATTTTAAAACAGATGACGGAGCGCTGGTGACGAAGTGATTAAAGCAATCAACTGCTAACTGAAAAGTTGGCAGTTCGAAACCACCAGCAGCTTCACAGGAGAAAGATGTGGCAATCTGTTTCCATAGAGATTTACAGCCTCGGAAACCCTATGGGGTTGCTATGAGTTGGAATCGACTTGATGGCAGTGGGTTTATACAGCTACAGTCATCAAAACAGCCTGGTACTGGTGTAACAGTAGAGCCACAGACCAATGGCATAGAATTCAGAGTCCAAAATAAACCCACACATGTATGGTCAACTGATTTTTGACAAGGGTGCTAAGTCCATTTGATGGAGAAAGAAGAATCTCTTCAATAAAAGGTGCTGGGAAAATTGGATTTCCACACGCAGAAAAATGAAACAGGATCCATGCCTCACACTATACGCAAAAACAAGTTCCAAACGGATTAAGGAGCTAAAAGTGCAAACTAAAATCATAAAATTCTTATAAGACAAAGCAGGAGCAATGCTGTCAGGCCTAGCTTTTAACAATGGATTATCTAATATAATAACAAAAGCATAACAGCAAAAGACAATATAAATAAATGGGTCCTCATAAAAAGTTTTGTTCATCAAAAGATTTTACCAAAAAAGTGAAGAGGCAAGCTACCAGCTAGGAGTGTATCTTCAGGAATCATATATCCGACAAGAATCAAATAACCAAAACATATATAAAATTTTGACAACAACCAAAAGACAAATAACCCAATCCTAAAATGTACAAAGGACTTGAATAGACATTTCACCAACGAGGACATTCAAATGGCCATCAAACAGATGAAAGATGCTCAGCGTCATTAGCCATCTGAGAGATGTAAATCAAAACCACAATAAGATACCATTTCACTCCCCACTAGGATGGCAAGGATAAATAAACAAAACAAAAAACAACAAATGTTAGCAAGAATGTGCGGAAATTGATGGAAATGCAAAATGGTACAACCATTGTGGAGAACAGTGTGGTGGTTCCTTAAAAAAACTAAAAATAGAACTACCATATGACCCAGCAATTCCACTCCTAGGTATATACCCAAAAGACTTAAAAGCAGAGACTGAAACAGAGACTTGTACATTAATGTTTACGGCAGCACTATTCATAATAGCTAAAAGGTGGAAACTATCTAGATGCCTAGCAACAGGTGAGTGGATAAACAAAATGTACATACATACAATGGAATACTACTCAGCCAGTAGGAGAAATGAAGTCTTATACATGTTGCAATATGGATAGAGATGGAAGACTCTATGCTGAGTGAAATAAGTTAATCACAAAAAGACAAACGTTGTATGACCTCACTTATATAAAAAGACAAGAAAAGATAAATGTATAGAGAACAAACTTTATTAGCGGTTACCAGGGGTGGGAGCAAGGAGGAGTTAACAGTGACAGAAATATTACGTTGACTAAGGGTAGGGTTGCACAGCCAATTATTGTAATTGCTGTCAGTAGGTTGTACACCTGTAAAAAGTTGAATTGGCAAAAACAATGACAAAAAAAGAAAGAGTAGCTGCTGAGGCTGGTTATGTTTCTTCGTTTGAAGGTTCAGGATCATGGTTTCACGGGATATCCCAGTTAATTGGCCTAATATGTTCAGTGCTTCTGTTCTACCTCTTAGCTCAACGCATAGTGCCTGGGGTCTTAAAAGCTTGCAAGCGGCCATCCAAGGCACAACAATTGGTCCCTACTGACGTGGAACAACAGAGGAAGAAGGAGAGTCAGCAATAGGAGGAGGATATGGAATATACGGCTAATTGCCTCCATGAACAACTGCCTCCTTTGCCATGAGACCAGAAGAACTGGATGGTGGCTGGCTACCAGTACTGAACATTTTAGTCAAAGATTCTATAGCAGAATCCTATTCAAAAGGGGGAAAATGCAGAACAGAATTTCACATTCTCATGGACTCCAGACTTCCTGGAGCCATGAAGGCTGGATGAATCCCTGAAACTATGGCCCTGAGATAATCTTTAAACCTTAAACCAAAAATATGCCCTGAAGTTTTCTTGAAACCAAACAACAGTTTAGCTTAACTAGTAAAAAAAGTCTGCCTTGAGCATTATGCTCTTTTAAGATCTAGCTACATGGGATCAAATTGGCAACAGCAACTCAAAAGATTAGATAGGAATCTTAGAGGACAGTGAGTTTATGTTAATGGGGGAAGAACAACCGAGAGAAGGAAGGTGAGAAGGGTTACACAACTCAAAGAACATAACCAGTGTCACTGAACTGTATATGTAGAAACTTGAATTGGTGTGTGTTTTGCTGTGTGTATTCTCAACAATAAAAACAAAATAAAAGAAAACCCCCATAGAGCACAGTTCCACTCTGACACACATGGGGTCATCAAAAAAAAAAAAAAAAAAAAAGTTCCTACGAATTAATAAGGAAAAGCCAATCATCTCAACTTAAAATAGGCAAATTATAAAAGAGTAATAAAACGACCTGCAAAGATGTCAAACAATAAGCTTATCAATAATTTTAAAAAATGCAAAGTGAAATGGGATTTCTTTCTGGTTTTTGTCTATCAATCAAATTATTAAGGAAAATATCAGAATCTTCATCACTGAAATAAGTATTTTTTACGCTGCTCACGGTGATAAAAAATTTATATGAGATGCTATGCTAAGCAACAAACTCCAAAGGAAGTATCGGATTTTATTTTTTAGCATAAACAATAGTTTGGCTTAACTAGTAAAAAATGTCTGCTTTCAGCATTACACTCTTTTAAAAACTATCTATATGGGATCAAATCGACAACAGCAACTCAAAAGATTAGATAAGAACCTTAGGGGACAAAGAGTTTATGTTAATGGTGGAGGAACAACTCAGAAAAGGAGGATGAGAATGGTTGCACAACTCGAAGAATGTAATCAGTGTTGTTGAATTATACACATAGAAACCATTGAATTGGTGTTTGTTTTGCTGTGTACGTTCTCAACAACAACTACAAAATAAATAAATTTTTTTTTTTTTTTTATAACACAAGTAGGTTTTATAAATCGATAGCCTTATTGATTACAGGTTATCTTCCATGTCAAACAAATGAAAGCACATACTTAGGGACATTTGGAAACAAAGAAAGGAAGTTCAATAGGTGATGTAAACTTTTAGATAGAGTGCTAGACCCTTAAACCAAGTATCTTGAGAGCCCTGGGTATAAATCAGAAGTACAAATTTATACTATGCTGTATTAATTAGTAAGATATCAAGAGGAATCATCAGGACATGTTGAATTTGAGTCATAACCACAGCCTTATGGCTGGATGTGGCCTTAGCTATCATTGGATATTAGTGATAGTACGGTGTAGGGATTAAGTACATGGACTCTCTGGGTTCAAATCTCATTCCTCTATGCTGTGTGATCTCAGGCAAGTCACTTAACCTCTCTTGTTTCTTCACCTGGAAAATGTGACTAAAAATAATCCCTACCTCCTAGGATCATTGTTAGGATTTATTAAGTTAATAAATGAAAAGTACTTAGTACAGTGCCTGGCACAAAGCAAGCACTCAAGTATTAGCTATCAACCATCATCATTATTATGTTATCCAGTTTAATTCCTTCCTTTTTAATTATTATATTTTCACATGAAGATACCAAAGCCATGGGTGGTTATATGACCTGCCCACGGTATACAAACTATTTGTGGCAACACTGGGACCAGAACCACTTTTCAGTTCCCACTTTAGGATCTTTCTATGGGACCAAATTGCCCTATGGCACATCAGCATAGGAAACAATTTAATTTAATAACTTGATAACTTCTAGAGTCTGACAGTCCCTTGAGATTATTGCTTCAAGTGGTGCCGTGGCTAACTCAAGTCTGTTAGGTCCCTAATCCTAGCAAGGGAGACTATCTGGGGCTCTAGAAAGTCCTAAGAATGTGCCACTTATTGCACTTGGAATCCAGTAAAGCGTGCAGATATGGGAAAGGTATTGAGATGCTGTGCATTTTTCTCTTTTAAATTCAACTAGCTAGTTCTTTAGAAAAGGTGAAGAGCCTTCTTGGTCATTTACATTCCATTTGACCCCTGCTGGTAGAAATCAAACACTGTCCTCCTGTTCTCCTTGGATTAAAACGAAATGAAACAATATAAAATGCCCATAACCTTAAAAAATAAATAAAATTAAAAATAATAATAATAATGATACAGCACATGAAACCAAATTTCAACAAGTCTTAATGGCATTAATGAAAAAAACGTTAAACACTATAACATAAAATGTCAGCAACAAACATCAACAAATACAACATAAAAATATTAACTCTCAAAACAAATTAAAAAATGAGTGAAGTACTGTGCTTTCTTTTAATAACAGAACCATGTGTTTGTCCCAACCTTCCTGAGAGGATGCTTTCTCAGCCTCTTTCAGTCTTCCGTTTTCTTTTTCCACTTTCTTAAGTTTTAATTGTAGTTCTTTCATTGCTTGTTTTATTACATTAAGTTCAAGGGTAAGGGTTTGATTTGTATTGTTTAGATGCAAATTTTCTTCTTTTAATTCCTCAAATTTTTCTTTGGTTATTTCTATACATCTTTGACGTGTTCTACCAGTTACATCTGGAAAACGTACAGGGAGAAAGTTTAGAAATATAAATTGGTTATTTAATAATAAAACTCTTCTTTCTCTTAAAAAAATATACAAATTGACATTTTACACTTTAACATCAAAATTGTATAAGACTTTATTTCAAGAAGGACTTCGTACTATGTTCTTTGGTCCCTAGAAAGAGAATGGCCTGTACAGGAAAGAGTGAGTGGTCTGGCCAGGCTACACGTGCTGAGAGAGTGGGAGACAGGAAGAGAAGTGACAGGGGACCCTCGCACATTACAATATAGAATTGAGGTCTGATACTGCAGGTGACCAGGAGCTAGAAAAGCTTTAGTGTAGAGGTGTGAAATTAAAAAGGCTCTCCTCTCTGTAAATCCCTTTGGCCAGCAGTGAACAAAAGTGAGGTGGAATGAGGATTAGCCCAGAGGCAGGGACACCAGTCAAAAAGCTCCTAAGGTAACTGTGGAGTGGGGGCAGAGAGGAAAGAACATATGAGAGGACTGATGGGCTAAAACCTCAGAGGGTTTGATGACTGACTGAGTGTGGGCATTGAGGGAAAGGGCAAACCAAGCATGAGTGCCACAATCTGTGGTTTGGGAGACAATCACCCAGACAAGGAAGACAAAGTGAAGAGATACGGGGACTAACAGAGGAGGGCCAGGGCAAGCCTTCAGATAGAGATGGAGGTGCAAGCAGAGCTTCTGTGGGCAGACAAGTGCTGGAGGGCTGAGGGCTCCAGACAGTGGACTCCGCCCATGTCATGGGATCAGGAGAGGGCTAGTGAGAGGATTGGTGGCTCCAGATGCCCTCCCCTGGCCCCTGACACTCACATAATCCAATCTCTAGAACATGCTCGGAAAGGCTAAGACATGAACAACTCCACAGCTGCACTGAAACCATGGGGGAACCATGAGGAATCCCAGGAAAAATAAAAACAGTTGAGATTAGATTGAAAATGGAAGCCACAGCCTAAAACATGCCAGTAGGGTACAGCTACAAAAGGTGGGAGTGGTTCAGGGATATGCCTTGCCCTGGTGAGTACTCGGGACAGGAAGTGGCCTTGGAGGAACTGAAGAAGTATCCAGTTAGAGCACCACAATGGGAGTAGCAAGGAGTCAACACTCCTAAGTCAGGCAGCCAACAGTAAGAATGTGTGCCCTTCACTAGGCAGTACATATAGGCCCTCAGGTCAGGGGCAGGGCAATCTCAGGGGGCTGGAGAAACACAGAAGAGGGACCCCATTCTGCTGCTGCCCTTACATCCTGACCATCCCATCAGCCACAGGAGATAGGTTGTACACCCAGCAGCTTGCTGGCTTACCCCTACAAGCAGCCTGCGATAAACTGATACAGCCTTGCAAGAGAGGCCAACAGGGACTCAAGGACAGAGTTGAGCACAACACCAAGAACCATCAAACATCTGACCTAAGAGAAACACCAAAGACAAATAACAGGGGAAAGTGTAGCTGTAGCACAAAGTACAAGACTTGGGAATGAGTATAGTTAAAATCCTCAGAGAGATGCTAGTCAATATTTCACAGAAATCATGGAAATTTAATATTTCAAGAATAAATAAAATTCAAAGGAGGGGCTGAACAGCAGAATACGCATAGTAAAGAATGAACATGTGAGCTAGAAGATAGAATCCCAGCAAACGCCCAGCACACAGCACCCAAAGACAATGAGAGAGGGGGTAAAAATAAGGTCAACCCAACATGGAAGACAGATTTACAAGTGTTGACATCCAAAAGGATTTTCATGCTAGTGATGTGAGACATAACAGCCTAAAATACAGAATCTACTTGGAGGCTACTGAGACTTCCCAAACAATACAGGGAAGCATACCACAGAAAGCATCTCTAGGACTCTCTCTACCTTCATCCTGAGAGCAAAGCCCTCATATGCAACTACCTACCTTCCAGGCCTGAACTTATCACCTACTCACCCATTCATGGTGTGAACACATTGCCCCCCCGCATCTGTCCACTCACCCATTCAGTGTTGGAGCACATCACACAGGGCCACCCGCCCACCCAGTATCACAGAGTATTCCATAGGTCCACCAACCCACAATCCCAGCATCTGAGATCTCACATGTCCTTGCATCCAGCCACCCAGCATGTGAGCACACCCCACAGGACCACCCACCCAGTGTCTGAGCACATCCCACAGGACCACCCACCATCTACCCAATCTGAGCATATTCCACAGTTCCAACCACCCACCCAGAGTCTGAACACATCCCACAGGTTCACCCACCCAGTGTCTAAGCACATCCCATAGGTCCACCCACCCAGTGCCTGAGCACGACCCACAGGTCCACCCACCACCCACCCAGCTTCTAAGCATATCAACATGTTCTTTCACCCACCTACCCAGTATCTAACAGCCAGTGTTTGGACCCTGTATTGACAGGCAGAGACAGACATAACTTCAAGAACTGCTACCTCTTCCCAATTCCTGTAACAGGGGACAGAGGCAACAGCTTTTCCAGGGGGAAAAGAAAAAAAAAGGACCTCTATTTTCAGATGAGATTATTCAGGGTGTTCTCTGAAACAATCAATCCTAACGAAATTCAAAAGACAATTACCCGGGGATGGTGGAGGCTTTCCACATAATGGTGATTTTTCATCCTAGGGAAGAAAAGAACATGAGAGTAATAAGCTAAAGAGTCTCAGCATCTTCTAAAAGCAGGCTGGTGCAGCAGCTAGCTCATTACATGTCAAGTATTTCAGCACAAAGCCTTTTTTCTTCATTTTGGCTCTTGTAGTTCTTAGTTTGCTCTGTGTTTCTTACAAAGGCATCTTAAACCTTAAGGGTCTTCCTTCCCTGGTGGGTTGGCTGAGGCAGTGAGGGAATTCCTGCATAGCTGTCTTCCTGCCTCTTGTCTGTGAGCTCCCACAAGTGACAGGCCACTGGATCACATCCTAAAGCATGTGAATGGCTGCAAGGGCCAGACAGGGATGCACAAAGCCAAGGCTAACCGGGCCGCTTCCGTTCGGATGTGCAAAAAGATCCCGTAAACTATAGTGAAACGTGTTTTTCAAAACGCTGAGAAAAACATCTGAGATCTCGTTTCTTAATCCAAAACTTGGTGGGAAGGAAAGGGTTTGAACTTTCATTAACTTTCCCTTTACGCAGTGGTGTGATATTAAATTCCTAATTTCTGCTGAAAAAGTAGATACGGTTATAAATTAACGCTGAAGAGTGTTTAATTTTTAAGCTCCTATGACATGGCACGATTACAAACTTAAGTTAGAACTATTCCTTATTGGCAAATGAGTTATTAAAATTGTCTATCCATTGTACAAACTATGTGAGTGATTTCTAACTCCCCAATTTAAAACACACATTCAATAATACTTTTCCCACAAATCATAAACAGTGTTTTAAAATTATGGTGGAAATTTTACTTAGTGAGAAAATTGTTCTTTAAAAAAATCATCTTACCTTTAAATTCAGAACAGGATGTTTGACATCTGATTAAAAAGAGAGAGAGAGAGCTTTTTAAAGCAAATACAGAAATTTGACATCTCAGAAGAGGGTAATCATAGGAACCTGCCTTCTATAGGTGAGAAAAATAGGGCCCGGGCAGGGAGAGACTGTGCAAGGTCACACGGCAAATCGGTCCCAGAGTGAGGCAGGGAGCCGGACACTGAACTGCTCAGCTCTTCCTGTAATGCTCATTCCTGACCCGGCAGCACCTATGGTGACTCTCACAATTACAGAACCAGGGCCACCTCCTCAGCCCCCACCCAGTGCGCTCTCTCCACGTTCTGCCATTCCCCAGTGGGTCAGGGCTTGACTCCTCTCTGCTTAGAAGTAGCACTCAGATTGGTCAGAGAAATTGTTGTTTCTTGAAATAAACGGCCTCAGCAGTACAGATAAAAATAATCCCGCCCAGTTACTAATTTTCCACATATTTGTAATTCAGGGACCACATGAAGAGGCTGATCGTACAGTTGCCTATACCACCTGCTGTAGTGGAAAGCTCAACATCTGTGCTGCTTTTAACTTTCTACTATTAATTTGGAGAGCAGAAATAACTGGGTGAAAGTGAACTGGAAACAAATGTGAAAAAAATAGAAAAAAAAAAAACTTACGGAATTCAGAAAAACACATAGAAGTGCCTAAAGATGCATAAAAGATTGTAAATTTACTCCCTGGTGCATTAAAATTACCAATACTTGAACAACTCATCATTGAAGATCTTATTTTTCACCAAAAAGTCATCTTAACCAACTGTTTTTAACCAAACTACTTTTGGTCAAATGCCCTGGGGTGAAATCCTGCCCTGTCCTTCAGAGTCCAGACTAATGAAACTTCCTTCTCTAACCACAGATGAGGCTAACTGCTCCCCAGTCTCTGTGCCCGCCTCTATAACCTGGCTGGGGAGCAGTTAGCACACCGACAGTCACAGAAGCTGGCTGATGAGCACATGGGTTCGTTTTACTATTCTCTCTACTCTTGTACATGTTTGAAAATGATCATAGTAAAAAGTCTTTAAAAGGGCTATTCACCCATTTTTCTCCCAAAGAAAACAAAATAATGGTCTCTAATTTATGCTGGGGCCCTCGTGGCACAGTAGTTAAACGTTTGTCTGCTAACCAAAAGGTCGGCAGTTCGAATCCACCAGCCACTCCTTGGAAACCTTATGGGGTAGTTCTACTCTGTCCTGTAGGGTCGCTATGAGCTGGAATCAACTCGACGGCAGTCGCTTTGGTTTCTGTTTTTTTTTTTAAGTTTATGTTAGATGTTAAATGGTGGGGAGGAGGAACAGCACGTGCAAAGGCCCAGTGGCAGGAAGAAATAACATGCACTTGAGGAAATAAAAGAATACCTGAGTGGCTGGAGAATGGTCAGCAGGGGCCAGACCTGGCAAGCCTGGTAGGCCGTGGGAAATCACAGAAGAGAGCTAAGTAAAAGGGGGGTGGAGCTGCATAGGGGTGTACACGAGCGGCCATTACCAAATCTGTGTTTTGGAAAGATTGCTCTGGCTGCTACCACAGTGTCAAATACACAGTGGGCCCTCGGCATGTCTACATATATCTGCTGGCTGAATGACTGAATGAACGAAATCACGTGGTAGCTAGTTGCTGGTATGGGATCATGAGCTCAGAGAAGAAACTTGAGCATAGCACACAATAACTGGTATTTGAAGCAGTGGGGTGGAGTGTGACCCCTTGGAAAACCATTCTGAGGAAAGGGTCTGGGCAGAGCCTTGAAGAACCCCAACGGTGAATGGACAGGTGGAGAAAGGCGATGAAGAAGCAGCACCCAGAGAGTCAGGAGGAAAAGGAGAGTGAGATGTCCTGGAAGCCAAGGGAAGGGATGTGTTTTGAGACAGCAGGAGCAGTCACTGTGGGGGCTGCTCCTGAGAGGTCTGACCAGACGAAGACGGAAAACCACCCCCTGTATTTAACAACTTAAAGGTCACTAGTCTGGTGGAGAAATGGCGGCAGAAGCCAAACGGCAGTGGGTTGAAGAGAGGCTGTCAGATGAGGAAAGGCATGGACAGATGAATCTTTCGACAAATTTGACTGTTAAACAGAAGAGAGAGTACAAGCCTAAGGGGAGCCCTGGTGGCGCAGTGGTTAGGAGCTCAGCTGCTAACCAAAAGGTCAGCAGTTGGGATCTACCGGCCGCTCCTTGGAAACCCTATGGGGCAGTTCTACTCTGTCCTATACGGTTGCTGTGAGTCAGATTTTTTTGTTTGTTTAAGGGGACTATCAGACCAAAGGAGAGAGGTGGTTTGTAATGAATATAGGGAATGGGAATGATGTCCCATGAGTAAGAACTTGGCATTTCTGACCAAGGGAACCGGTATTTTGAATAAAGGACTTAAGAATCTGGACTTCTTGACACGGTTATTGCTAGAGTGCAGAGTGGAGCATCAGGCCTTAGAGCTTTAGGCTTCAGATAATAATTATCAGCTAGCATTTATGGAAGGGAACCCTGGTGGTGCAACAGTGAAGCGCTCAGCTGCTGACAAAAAGCTTGGCAGTTCAAACCCACCTAGCAGTTCCACAGGAGAAAGAGCTGGTGATCTGCTCCGGTAAAGATTACAGGCAAGGTAACCCTATGGGGCAGTTCTGCTCTGTAACACGGGGTTACTATGAGCCAAGAATCAAGTCAACGGCACCTAACAACAAGAGCGTTTACGGAAGGCTCCGTGCTCTACAGGTGTGATTCCAATGACCTGATGAGAGAGGCAGTAAGGAAGGTTAAGTAACTCAGTCAAGCCTCTCACCTGGGAACAGCAGAGTCGAGAACAAACCACTAAAAGCCAGCGTTTCTGATATGTTGACCAAGGATCACCCACATCAGAATCCCCTCTCTGGGCCCTGCCCCAGAACTACTGAATTAGAATTTGGGGTGTGAGGCCTTTTTCCACAAGTATCCAGGCTTTTTAATGCCACCACAAACTAAGAACCACTGAAGGAGCCACACTGCCTCCCAGCCACCACCTGTGCTCTAAGGGCATGCTTACCACGTGTGCTGGTTATCACTTTATTGCCTCTAAGCTCCAAATCCACACTTCATTGCTTGCGATATTGCAACATTTCTACCGAGCCGAGAGGCACGATGTAAAGCTCCATCAGGAGAAGGCGCTGGAGGAACACTGGAGGAGGAAGGGGCTCTGCTTTCTGATTCCAGGGTTCAAGCTATCTATCGCTTGCGCGCGCGCACACACACGCTCACACGCGCTATTTTTTCAGGTAGTCAGCGGCAGCATCCGGCACTTCCCCGAGGATAGCATCTCCTGGAACCCTTTTCCATGAGGCAGCTTCCCAGGGTGTTCTGCTAGCGAGACACCTCGGCGAAATTTCTCCACCAGCCAGGGGACACAGCTGCCCCCTTTCCAATGTCTGGATCTCAGGCCTGGGTGAGGCTCTTCCAAATCTGCTTCTTCCCTGGCTGCTCTGCATCAGCCCTAGAGGTGGTGGCTGATCTCTCGCTCTGCTATTCTTATATTCTTATGAGTTTTCTTTACCCCTTAGTAGGTAATCCTGTTATCCTTAATAATTCTTAAATTAAACTCTCCCTATTCAAATCACTGGGTGGCTTCCGTCTCCTGATTGGATTCTGACTGGCCACAGGCAACACAAACATTAGAAAAGGAAAGCGAGATCCTTATGGATCGACACAGGAAGAAATTCAGGATATGCTGAGATGAAAAGAGGCAGGTAACAAAATAGCACGTACTGCATATATAAACAAAACACCAAACCCACTGCCAGGGAGTCCACTCCAACTCATAGCGAACCTACCGGCCACAGTAGAACGGCCCCATAGGGTTTCCAAGGAGCGGCTGGTAGATTCCAACCGCCGACCTTTTTAACCAAAAGCAGCCAAGCTCTTAACCACTGTGCTACCAGAGCTCCATACGTACACACACACACAGACACAGTCACACACAGACAGACACACACACACACACTTTAAAAAACAAACAGTTGCCACTGAGTCGATTCCAACTCGCGGAGACCCTAAGTGCTTCAGAGTAAAACTGTGCTCCACAGCGTTTTCACAGCCGTGACCTTTCGGAAGCAGATTGCCAGGCCTTTCTTCTGAGGCGCCTGAGGGTGGATCCAAACCACCAACCTTTCAGTTAGTGCTTAACCTTTTGCGCCACCCAGGGACTCTGTTTTATATATACACGCACTCTAAACTGTTCAAAGTAATTACCTGTGGGAGTACAGTCATGTGTGTTTAACTTTCTACTAATCTCTATTTGATTTTCTTTTTTTACATCAATTATCGTTTCTTTAATTAAAAACAAAGATATATTAACTTTTTACATGAATTTAATATACATATAGATTTTCCTACATTAATAAAATATGCCAAAAACCAACAGGTGTTTCTTGCCCAGGTATCATGAAGCTGGCATCCTGTTTTATCCATCAGACACCTTGTGGACTGATTTACATAAGAGTCTTCCTGAGCCCAAGTGTCCTTATAGGGCAATTCTTGGTATCCACTACCTCTCAGGAAAATGAAAACTGTTTCCTACGTTTGCCACGGAGTCCCGGGGTGGCGCAAACGCTTGACTACTAGCCAAAAGGTTGGCAGTGCAAATCCACCCAGAGGTGCTTCAGAAGAAAGGCCTGGTGATGTCTCCAAAAGGTCACAGCCTTGAAAACCCTATAGAGCAGTTCTACTCTGCACATCTGGGGTCTCCACGAGTTGGAATCAACTTGACTGCAACCAACAACGGCCACCTTTGCTATAATGCACTGGATTCTCTCCGTGCCAAAGAAAATATATAAAGACAGCTGGTGACGCAGTTACAGAATTGTATTGTAAATATGTCCACGCACTCATGCGTTCAACAAACCTTTACTGAAGGCCCACTGCGGGCCAGGCCCTGCTCTAGGCCCTGGGGGTGGCGTGGTGAACATGGCAGATAACCTCACTCATTCATTCTCAACATTTCAACGGAGCAACACTGTGTGCTGCCCCAGGTAACACCAGGCACCGGGGAGCAGAGGGAAGTGAGCGTGGAAAGCTTCACAGACTCTGAGCCATACACCCTCCTCCCTGTGTATCCTCTCACGGCTGACGTAACAGACAAAACAGCTTGTGCTTTAAACACAACCTAACACGCGGGCAATCCACTGTGAGTAATTCATTTGGGGGAAATAAACTTCAGGTGGACTCCTGGTCATAATCAAGGAACCACAGAAGGAGGTGCACGGGCTATATTCTTCCAGAAATTAAACAATATTTATTACCATGAGACGCTTTTATATTTCTAGTTTACCTTTCTCATGTGTACACTGCAGTGTAAGAGGTGAGTCTGGAAACCCATCTTGCTCAGAAATATTTTCATCTTCTTCACTGTCCACCCCATGTGACAATGGAACCTTTTTTGTTCATTAAAAGAAGAAAAGACAGAAGAGCAAATATGTGATAAAAGCTATCTATATAAAATTTCCTCTTAACAAACTCATATGTCTTACTTCATACCTTCCCCCTGCTACCTCTCTCCTCGAGCAGCTGACATCACTTTCCTCAGTGAGACACAAAAGTCCAGAAACTGGAGGGATGGATGGGGCCCTGGTCCCCTAGGGAAAAGCCTGGGTGGCTAAGGCAATGCCACCCAAATTATGCTTAGGCAATGAAGAGCAGTACGTCTCACCCCGACACCCTGACAGCTTCCCTTCCTCACCCCTGCTGGCACCCCCCCAGGAAAAGGGGCTGCACATACCACCCGACCAGGGTACTGACTCTGCATCACTTGCCTCTGAGAGGGACAAGAACTGCTGACCAGCACTTGGAAACCTGCATCCAGACAACTGTTTGGGATGGAGGCATACTGAGTTCACTGACTATGTGTGTCATTTCCTGGTGGCATGGAACCCTCCCCTCTACTGTCTGGGAGCATCTCCTACACAGACATCAGGGAATGGTGGCAGGCCTCAGCTCTGTCCCTTAGAGACAGTGGGCCAGGAAGGAGACTTCTCCTGAACAGGAGGAAATGTTCCCACAAGCAGGGCCGTGGGAGGCAGGGACCCAGCTCCCACCAGGAAGGGCAGTGAATGAGCAGTGACCTGCCTTGTAAATGTGAAAAGTAGAAAACAATATAACACATTAGGGGCAGCAAAAAAGAGGAAGACCCTCAACGAGATGGACTGACACGGTGGCTGCAACACGGGGCTCAAGCACAGCAACGACTGTGAGGATGGTGCAGGACCGGGCAGCGTGTCCTTCTGTTGCACGTCGGGTCACGATGAGTCGGAACCGACTCAACGGCACCCAACAACAACAACAACTGTGAAGTTTTCTTTCTTTCATTGAAAAAAAAAATTCTGAGGAAAAAAAGATAAAACGTCAGTATTTACTCATTTGTGTCATTTATTCTGTAGACTGGAAACACTAATGTGTTATATTATTTTCTACTTTTCAAATTTTAAAATAAAAAACTTTTCTCTGCTGCACGTGGGTCCTAGACGTGTCTAAAAATTTAAATGTTTGTCTTCTAAATGCAAAGGAGGCAAACCACCCCCCCCCAAAAAAAAACCAAACCCGTTGCCATCAAGTTGATTCTGACCCATAGCGACCCTACAGCACAGAATAGAACTGCCCTCATAGGGTTTCCAAGGAGCAGCTGGTGGATTTGAACTGCTGACCTTTTGGTTAGCAGCCAAGCTCTTAACCACCAGGGCCCCAGGGAGGCAGTATAGAGCCCTAAATCCTTTTTTTTCTAAGGGAAACATCACAGCAAGCTTAACTCCCAAAACAGCTGTGTGATACAATTCTATGTGCAACATCAGTCCAAAATACCGAGGCTGAAAGCGTGTGGCCTAGAAGGGGGACTTCGTTTAGGCCTTTTAGAGCCCTGCCAGCAGCAACGCCTCCTTTGGGCTCTGGTCAGCTGTCTGCTTCTTCCAGCACTTCGCTGTCGAGAAACCTAGTTTTGCACGCTGAAGTCTGTTTATGTTTGAAAGTGATGATTCATTCGTGAAACAGTCATGTAAGGATACCTCAAAATAAGCTCCCTAAGTCCATTTAAAATATGGTTCAATATAGTAAAGTGGATGATCGATATAAATGTAGTTTGATGCTGTGAGTCTGTGTATCACAGTCACCACAAATAACAAATGTTATGGGGATGGTGACAAAAAAGAGAAAAGAAAAAGAAATTACGGTGCTGTCTTCTGCCATTACAGAAGTGGCCCAGTCTGTTTCCAAAGCCCAGGGAGCACCAAGTTCAAAACCAGGATTAGCGGAGCAGGTGGCAGGGGTGGAGAAGCAGGGCCCCTTCACCCTTTCTACCTTGGTTCCCCCATGTGCGATAGGGTGATGAACAGAACCTACCTCGCTGAATTGTTGGGAGGCAGAGAAGAGAAATGCACATACGAGCTTGAAAGCGAGCCTGACACATGGGGAGCAGTTGACAAACGTTAGCTGCTATTAAGAGAAAAATGACGACATCCCTCTTAGGAGGCTCAGCTCTGAAGAAAGGTTGCAACCGATAGACCGATACTGGGAAAGGGACAGGAAAATTAGGTTGTGGGCTCAAAGAAAACAGCAGGATTCCTAACATTGGAAGAAACCTGCAATAAGAACATGAAGGTGTCTATCGTTTTGTCTTTGAAAGATAAAGGACAGACATTTAAATTTTAGCTAACCAGAGGAAAAAAATGAGTCTGAACTCATTAAAAAAATAGGTCTCAACTGGATGAATGGAACCAGGGAGCCCAGGTTGGAAAGGGAAAGGGAGAGAATGCTGACACATTGTAGGGACTGCAACCAGTGTCACGGAATAATCTGTGTATACATTTTTGAATGAGAAACTAATTTGCTCTGCAAACTTTCACCCAAAGCACAATAAAAAAAAAAAAAAAAAAAAAATCCTTCGGTCACCAGAAAGCTGATGCCAAAATTTAAAAAAACAGAGCCCATCAAAGGTAGAATGGAGAGAAGACCATCCCGACTGGCGCACTCTCCGCAGCTCACAGTAGGTTAACATGACGGCACGGGAGAGACCCAGGAGTGTGAAAAGCACCTGATCTCTGTGTGGCACAGCGTACACAGCATCACTGCGCCCTCCCGCGTCATTCCGAGCACTGACGTCCTGTGACTCCTTGTCGCTGGATGACAGGTGCGTGTCGGTGCCCTCTTCCTCCCTGCAGTCCAACGTTTCAAAGGATGGGAAAGAAGTTCCTCTTCCCATCTCACTCTGCCAAGTTGGTCTATATTAGAATATCAAAGAGCAAAAAACAAACCACTTAACATTTCACGTTGGTACATACGCATACATTTAAATGCATTTTCCCCCATCCCCACCATAAAGGTATTATAACTACATTACAAAAAAATAGAAGTTAAGAGATTGATCACCCACTATCTGATCTCTTTGCAAACCCTAGGCATTTACTTTCTACTTTTCCTCTATGTTTTTATAGTCGTTATCACTGCATAATGTATAATTTACCTTGTTATTTCCAAGTTTTTATAGTCAACGTTTTTAAAGGTAGGAATCAAGTGGATACACTAGTTTTGTCAGCTGTTTCCTTTACTTAGGTTTGTTCAAATTGTCGTTGTTATAAATAACCTTGTAATGAACATCTACGTACAGATAACCTCTTCTGTATTTAGGATTAATCCTACAAAACAAACGACCACATGGTAAACCACTGAGTCAAATGGCATCAACGTTTTGTGTGCCTATGTGCCTCCTACACAAGATCACTGCATAAATCATTTCCCCAGCTTATGACTACGCTGGCAATAATTTTCTAAAATTTGCCAAAAGAATTTACATCTCATGGTCTGAATTTGCATTTCTTACTGAGACTGATTATTTTCCCATATATTTGGGTAAGAGTCATAATTCCTCTGCTGTGAACTATCTGTTCATGTCCTTTGTCACTTACCTACTTTGACTCTAGCATACTCACTCCAATTTGAAATTTATTTTTATCTACTAAAATTAAAACTCTATCTTTGTGTTTACTACACATACTTCTCCTATCCTAGTTTGTTTTGCTTATGTAAATTTTTTTAATGAGTTGGAATTGATGCAACGGCAATGGGGTTTAATGGAATTTTTAATATGCAAATGACTTTAAAAATGTCTTTTTTTTAACTTCTAAATTCTTAGTAATCGGCAGACATCTCCACCTGAGAGGTCTAATAAAGATTAGATATTGATGTTCACGGTCTTATTTGTGTGTGTATACAGATTAATCTTTTCACTCAATAGAGATTTATTTTGGTGTATGATACTGGGCAAGGCTCCAAGCTGATTTTTTCCCTAATACTGCAATCTTCCCCTCCTCTGTGACCTGTGAGGCTGTCTTTATTAAAGACTCAATATACTGTACCCACTAGGCACACCTCAGGGTGCTCATGTGCTCCAGCGACTCAACTGCCCATCACTGAACCAGTCCCATACTGTTTTAACAGCTTTAACTATACGTTTCAAAATAAGATGGGGCTGATCCAACCCTCCCCCAGGCCACTATTCTTCCTTTCCAGAGAGCCTTTGATAGCTATTTCTTTCCAGGAAATTTTAGAATCATTTCCTCATCTTTAGTTCTTACTCAGCTGAAGTATAAACTCTTAGGGGGAGAAAACAGTCTATATTCAAACACCTCAAAATGGATTCAACATTTAAGTGTAAAAACCAAAAATAAAAACATATCCTAGAAGGAAATAAGTGAGTATTTATATAATGCTGCAGTAGGGAAGTTCTAAATTTGACAATAAAGATGTAAACTACAAAGGATACAGTTGATAGATTTTACTACATTAAAAATACAGAATATTTGGTATGTAAAAAAAAATACAAAAACAGAATTGAATATACATAATAGTCAGTAAGGCGAATGTGGTCATGTATCCCTCACCCCCACCCCCAGCCCACGAGCCCTTAAAGTCCTCCAGTGCTTTCCCACTACTCCTAGGGGAGATAACGAACCCCTGAACAGGACCCCAAAGTCTCCCAGGATGGCCCCGGCCCACCCCTCCGGCCTCACCGTGAATCACTCCACGCCTCACTCAAGTCTTCCCAACTACAAACATCTTTCTTCAGTTGCTCACATGTGTCATGTTCTCTTTCTCTGGAAAGCCCCTGCCAGCCCCACACTGACCATCTCCCCCAACCTTGATCTCTTCCTAGTTGGTTCCTGTACATTACTAAGCTCTCCCCTAAACCCTCCTCCCTCAGGAGGAGACCTCCCTGATCTGCCAGGCCAAACTCAGCTCAAATCCAGCTCAAGCAAGAAAGGTAAAGATACAAAAGAAGAAAAAGGTTATAGTATAGACACCAAAGAAGTAAGGTCAGTGTGAATGTTCAGAGGAGAAACACATGAGGAATGATAAGCTGCAACTCTCACTGTCTACTTTATGGCATAGAGAACTTACTAAGGCCTAAAAGCAACACTGAATTAATTGGTTCTGCTACCATGAATACGATCAATGCTTTTATAGGTCATTATTTAACCAGATCCACTCAGGAGAAAATTCTGATACAATCTAAGAGCAATTAATGTCCCAGGACAGTGTCCCTTTGACAATGCTGATGAAAACCCAAGGACTAAGTCTAATCATAAGCACAAGTATGTATACCAGTGCGCATGCACGTACACACACATGCGTGCACACACACACACACCATGCTGGGCTGCCCCTCCTCTTCCCTGAGAGGAATCAAAGCCAGTGACGTGGTCCCTACCGAAGCCTCAGCTCTGAGGTGGTGGCATAGGGCTCGATGGAGCTGTCCTTTCCAATGCATGTTGTATCACTCTCAGATCGGGATCTCTGGCGAGGCTGAGGAATGGCAACGGTCCGCCCCGTCAATGTTGTTGCCAGGATAGCTGCAGCCAGAGCAGATCTGCAGACAAAAACATCCCAGTGAGACCGCGAGACATAAACATTCAAGCTGAATGCTGAACCACAAGGTATAAGAATGAACCAAGGGGAAAAAAAAGAACGAACAAGGTTTACCTTCTATTCTACTGCTGGCTACTGAATATCTACTCACTATGTGCCAACAGTCTGCTGTGTGCCGTCATAGACAATTCCATTTGATTCTCACATCAACTGTATGACTAGAATTATTGCTGTCCCCGTTTCTCATAGATAGATATTCAATGACTTGCCCAACATTTCCTAGCTAGTAGGTGGAACCAGAGCCCTGGTGGCGCAGTGGCTAAGAGATTGGCTGCTAACCAAAAGGTCGGCAGTTCGAATCTACCAACTGCTCCTTGGAAACCCTACAGGGCAGTTCTACTCTGTCCTAAAGGGTCACTATGAGTCGGAATCAACTCAATGGCAACAGATTTGGTTTTAGTTTTACAAGGTGGAACCAGGTCCAGGTAGGTGGGTCCCAAAGCCCATATTCAAGTACTTTCCTTATTAAAATGAAAGATCAGAATTCTTTTTTAAAAAGGGAGATATAAAAGACATGCCATTTTAAAATGCTTGTAAATTCTTCAAAGATATGGTGTAGACAAGATGGGGTAGCAGATTTACAAAAAAAAAAAAAAAAAACCCAGACAAAAATACATGAAACAATAGGTTTCAAGGCATTGGATATCAGGCAGTGAAGGACAGTGATCCCTGAAAGACACAAAACACCTACAATTGTCCCAGCTAACTGCTTGAGCGCATTTCCAGGTCACAGGGCAGGGAGGAGGAACCGAAGTGGAGCCAGGTAGACTGCCTGAGTTGTGGAAACTGAGCTGAGAGTCCAAGGAGACCAAGGTGGCTAGTGTTTGCAGAACAGAGTACCAAGAGGAGAGAGCAACAGAGAGAACCCTGGGGAGCTGCAGAAGTTCCTCCTTGAGTGTTCACCAAAGTACTCCTCAGCGCATGAGCGTAAGGAAACTACCTAAGGCTGAGGAAAGAAGCATCCAAAGGGATTAGAGAGAACAGTGCCAGGCACTCACACACAGCCGGGGAGAGGGCCTGGGTCTACCAGTCAGACTGGAAAAACTCAAATTCATTGGACATTGAGTAGAGTGCTCGGAAAGGTCTTGTCTCAATGAGCACTGCTGTAGGACACACCTAGAATCAAACTGTTTCTAAGTAACTTAATTGCATCTGAGAACAAAGTTCAACAAGATTTATAGGAATATGAAAATACCCAGCACTCAACAAGGCAAAATTCACAATATCTCAGATCTAATCAAAGATTACCAGGCATGTAGAGAAAGAAAAACATGTCCCATAATGAAGAGAATAATCAATCAATTGAAACCGACCCAGAACTGAACACAGATGTTAGAATTAGCGAAGAAGGCCATTAAAATAGTTATTATAACTGTATTCCACATGTTCAAGAACTTAAGTAGAGGTGGAGGAGATATAAAAAAGACCCAAATCAAACTTTAGGAGACGAAAACTACAATGTCAGATATTAAAAAACAAAACACTGTATGAGATTAACAGCAGATTACACATTGCAGAAGAAATGATCAGTGAACTTGAAGACAAAACAATAGAAAGGAAAATAAACAACTAAAAAAAAAGACATCAGTGAAATGAGGGACAGCTTCAGGAGGGCTAACATATGGGTAGTAGGAGTCCTTGAAGGAAAGGAAGGAGTAGAGAATAGGAACAAAAATTAAAGAAAGACTGGCTGGCAACTTTCCAAACATGATAAAAATTATAAACTCACCGATTCGAGAAGCTCAAAGAACTCCAAGTACAAGAAACATGAAAAAAAAACCTATAGCAATGCACATCATAATCAAATTGATCAAAACCTGAGACAAAGGGAAAATATTAAAAGCAGTCAGAGAAAAATAACATGTTATATACAGAAGAATAGAGATAAGGATGGTAGCAGATTTCTCATCAGAAACAATGCAAAGGGAAGATGGTGAAGCAACATCTTTAAAGTACTAAAAAAAAAACTTGTCTAGCTAGAATTCTATATCCAGCATAAAATATCATTCAACTACAAGGTGGAATAAAGATGTTTTTAGACGTACAAAAGCTGAAAGAAATCATCACCAGCAGACCCAAACTATAACCAGATTGATAAGGAAAAGACACACATTATCAATATCAGGTATGAGAGAGGTAAGAACACCACAGATTCTACAAATGTTAAGAGGATAATAAAAGAATAGTATAAAGAACTTTATGCCAATAAAATCAGCTACTTAGATGAAGTGGACAAATTTCTTGAAAGATACATATACCAAAGTTCACTCAAGAAGAAATAGATAACCCAAATAATCCTCTACCTATTAAAGAAACTGAAACTGTAATTTAAAACCTTCTCACAAAGAAAAACTCCAAGGACAAATAGATTCACTGGTGAATTCTACTGAACTAATTCTACACACATTCCCTCCAAAAAAACTGAAGAGGAAGGAATATTTCCCAACTATGCTATAAGACCAGTATTATTCTGATACCAAAACGAGACGAAGACATTCTAAGAAAAGAAAAACTACACACCAAGATCCATCATGAATTATCCTGATACCCAAACCAGACAAAGACATTATAAGAAAACTGCACACCAATACATAATGAACATACATGTAAAAATTCTAAACAAAATTTTAGCAAAGTGAATCCAACAATATATTATAAGGATAATACTTCCTGACCTAGTAGAGTTTATCCCAGGAATGCAGGGTTAGTTTAACATTCATAATCAATCAATGTAATTTACCATATTAACAAACTAAAAAACAAAACCATATGATCATCTAAATATATCCAGAAAAGGTACATGACAAAATCTAATACCCATTTCTGATTTAAAAATAAAAAAAAAACCTCTCAGCAAAAGCAAACTAGGAATAGAAGGGAATTGCTTCAACCTGATAAAAGGTATCTATGAAAAACTTACAGGTTTACAATAGCTAACACCACATGTAATGGTGAAAGACTGGATGGTTTCCCCCGAAGATTAGAAACAAGACAAAGATCTCCACTCTTACTACTTTATTCAACATTGTACTGGAAGTTCTGGCCAGTGAAATAAGGCAAGAAAAGGGGATAAAAGGCATCCAGATTGGAAAGGAAGAAGTAAAACTGTCTTTATTCACAGACATGGTCAACTATGTAGAAAATCTATTAGTGAGTTTAGCAAGGTTGAAAGATACAACATCATCATGCAAAAATCAACTGTACTTCTACATACTAGCAACAAACAATCAGAAATTGAAATAAAAAAATACTATTTACAATAGCATAAAAAAAATGAACTACTTAGGGATACTACTTAAGGATAAATCTCATAGAAGATGTGAAAGACATGTACACTGAAAACTACAAAATATTGCCTAGAGGAATTAAAGAAGACCTAAATAAATGGAGAGATATACCTTGTTCATAAGCTGGAAGACTCAGTATTGACGAATTGTCAATTACCCCCAAATTGATCTATAGATTATATGCAATCTCAATCAAAATCCCAGCAAGCTTCTTGTAGAAATTGACAATTTGATTCTAAAATTGATACGGAAATGCAAAGGGCCTAGAACAATCAATACAACTCTGGAAAAACAACAAAATTGGGGGGCTAACACTATCTGATTTCAAGAATTATTATAAAGCTACAGTCATCAAAGCAGCATCGAATAAGAATAAATAAACAGATACATGGAATAGAATAGAGTCCAGAAATGAACTCACACATATGTAAACAACTAATTTTTTTTTTAATAATATTTTATGGAGTTTTTGGTGAAAGTTTACACAACAAGTTAGGTTCCCATTTGACAATTTCCACACAAATTATTCAGTGACATTAGTTACATTTGTCATAATGAGTTAACATTCTCTTTAATTGTGTTCTGTTTATTTCCTTTCCAGTACTCTAGTTTCTCTGCCCCCTTATCTTCTCATCTTTTGAGTAATTGTTGGCCTTTTGATTTCATACTGATGGCTTTTAAGTAGGACACCGATCTTACAGGTAATATCTATTTTTGTGTGTGCCACTCTGCTGTCTCGCTAAAAGGTGATCTCAGGGGATAGGCTCAGTTCTAGGTTTTTAAAGTGTCTCAGGGCGAAAGTCTCAGGGAGTCCTCTATTCTCTACTGTTCCAGTTTGTCTGTTTTTTAATAAAAATTTGAGTTCTGCTCCATATTTTTCTCCCATTCTATCCGGGACCAATTATTATGACCCTGGTCAGAATGGTCAGTGGTGGTAGTGGGGCACCATCTAGTTCTTCTTGTCTCAGGGTAGATGAGGTTGTGGCTTGTGTAGACTTGTTTCCTTTCTCAGCTGTTGGTTGCCTTCTTACTGTTTTGCTCCCCGTAAGTAGAGACCCATAGTTGTGTCTTAGATGGCCGCTCACAATCTTTTAAAACCCCAGATGGTACTCACTTCACTAGGATGCAGATAATGTAGAACTGTTATGCCAATTAACTGAGTTGCCCCATGAGACTACGGTCCTAAGCCAGAAAGGCTTTCTTTTTGACCTTATCTCAATCCACCTCCTCTCACCTGCTACACACTTCAACTACGCTGATTTCTTTTTATAATTTTATCATGCTTTAGGTGAATGTTTACAGCACATATAAGTTTCTCATTTAAAAATTTATACACAAATTGTTTTGTGACATTTGTTGCAATCCCCACAGTGTGTCAACACTCTCCCCCTTTCCAACCGGGTTCCCTATGTCCAGTTGTCCAGTAAACAACTGATTTTTGACAAAGGTGCAAAAGCACTGCAGTGGAGGAAGAATAGCTGAGGTAGACTGCTTCTGAAATGGTGCCCAATGATCCTAGCCTCCTGATAATCACAACCATTTATAATCCTCTCCTTTTGAGTGTGGCCTAGACCTAGTGACTTGCTTGTAATGAACAGAATACAGCAAAAAGCGATGGAATATCACTTCTGAAATTAGGTTACAAAACACTGTT